GAAGTATCGGTTTTTGTACTCTGTATCGGCAAGTACTCAGATCCAAGTATCGGTATCGTATCGGTTTGAAAAAATTGGTATCGTTGCATCCCTAAAATAAATAAATGAAATGCTTTACAAAAATGACTCCAAGTGTGATGCAGAACCTCAGCTGCAAAATTGCATCAAAGACAAAGATTAGTCCTCTTTCTTAATCTTAACTTTTAACATTACAATCTGATAGAGAGAGCCTACATGGCGTTAACGTCATTTTAACGCGATTAATGATAACAGCACAACAAAAAACAGTATGATTGTAAAATTGGTTGTTGGTAGCTCTTTAAAAAGACGCATTAGCCCTTACTGTATAGTGTTGATGTAATTCTCCACATCTCTCATGTTTCCATCACTCCAGTTGTTCTTGAAACCCATGACCAGTGTGTTGGGTTTCAGACGACCTAAACCAACAGCCTAGCATGGGGAGGAAACACGTATTTGTAGATAGTGACTTTAATATAAGATGAAGGGTGCAAAAAGAAGGCTTCTTCTGTACCTGCAGGAGTAACTGAGCTCCGTGCCTCAAGTTGTCTGAAAAAACAGGAGCATAAAAAGCCTTGATGCGTTTTTTGTTGAGGTAGCGCTGACAGCGGGCATAATCCTGATACAGCTCCCTAAAGTTCGACCGACGGGACACCTGGGGCAGGAGTGGGAGGAGATGAAGCACAAAATGTTTCTGCCATGTGAAAGAAAGCGTAACATGCAGACCTAACAGGTGACATTTGGTACGTACAGTTCTGACGTGACCGGAGACCATGAGGCTGACGTTCTTGGTGAAAGAATTCACCAACTGAAGCAGAGCGGGACGAGCGTTTGGATAACCCGTCAACACCAAACACTGCGGCCTGTCGATATACATTTTATACAGAAGGTCAAGTTTAGGTAGTTTTAAAACAAGAAGTCAGGTTATTTTGGTTTAAATAATTACTTTTAAAATTGGATTAAATTTTGATCATTTAAATTCAGTTAGAGCCAAGTTTCCACTGTTACTACTGAATGCCTTTGTGTTGGTAACGAGTGCCGTAACATCTACCAGGTCAGCATGTCTAGAGTTAAATGTAGGGTTTGGTTTTTGTTTCAGTCACTTTTAGTCCATGAGTTCAGCTCCACTCGAAGCTTCATGCTGACCTGAAGTTTTTAACGTGGTCCTCGACTCCGGTGAGGTTCAGGCAGTGAGTCAGAGCCTGGTTGTAGATCAGAGCCTGAGTGGATGAACCCCAGTTCACATCTAGAGGAAAAAGCAGTTTGAATTTGAGTAGATTGGTCAGCTCGTGGAGTTCAATTGTCCACAATATAATAATGACAGTCATCATCATCATCATCATGGTTGTTATCATTAATTGCAGCATATGAAAGATGAATTCATAATAAGATAACGCAAGATAAACATTAAAGAAAGTAAAAGTGCATAATACAGTATATGCAATATTAATATGTTAATACAGTAAGTATTGTTGCAGGTTGTGCAGGTGGGACTAATGTTAACTGCTTTGCATTATATGTTTTAAATAATACATCACAGTTTATTAAGTGATTATATTTAGTTTGTTTCCCATGAGCTACTTGAATTCCTCAGATAGCTTGTAAAAGCCAAGATGCAGAACTTATACAGAGTCAAAACTGAGTTAGGCCAGAAAACCTTCAGATATAAAGATTATGATTATTATTCTGTTCATTGCACCGTTTAAATTAACACACAGATCTCTTTTAAAATGTTGGGAGAAATCAAACATATTGATTAATAAGCCAAAAAATTCCTACTGGAGCAAAAGTTTAAAGTGGATAAACATGGAAACACTCAAGTAAAGAATGGGCACAACTAAGAGTTACATACATTAAATATGTCAGCCGTCCTGAGCTCAGGTATCAGTACCATGCATTTTTTATTTATTTGTATTAATTTATTTATTATTTTTTGCTGCAGTTGCTCTATTTTTATTTAATTTCCCAGTGACTGGAGGATGACACCAGTGCATTCATTCTCGCAAGAAGTCAGACATCCAGAGAATGGGAAGTGTTGAGTATTTAGATGTTCTTTGGTGACACCCACATTTAGTAGCCATTAAAGAAACGGCCACTAAATGGTGCCGCGTGAAATCAGCTGGAAGTACCTGACCCAGAGCTTCATATTGGCGAGCAGGTCGTTGTTAGAAGTTTGGAAAGGATCAAATGTTGTGCCATTGTCTTCTTACCAGGTTTCTTGTAACTGACGTAGATGTAGAGCGCGAGGACAATGAGCAGCGTAACGAGGGCCGCCCACCAGTTAATGACAAACATCACCACGCAGCACAGGATCGCCCCGGCAAGGGATACCCACATGTTGTAGTATTTGAAGCTGGGGCGCCACCCTGTAGTGGAGGGGTGAGAGTAGATCAGACGTTAACAGGCCAAACAGAGGGATTTCTTTTGATGTTTTTAATAGAAATTATGTTTAGTTCAGTGAAAAAACAACAACAAAGGACTTTTTGTACTATAAACATCATTCACCAATTTGTATACTAGCTAAAATGCCATTAAGAGATGAGTCAAGACAAGGAAGATTGAGAAAACTTTCAGAAATACTAGCATAACACTGTGGTAATTTTCATATAATCTATAATCTAGTCATAATTCCTTTACAGTTCCACAGATTACCTGGAGAGCTGGCCAGGGAGGCATGGAAAACTGAGAAGTTGATGAGAGCATACGAGGCCAGAAAGAAGTTGGAGATGATTGGAGCAATGATGTTCAACTCCGCTAGTGGACAAAAGACAGGTTTAACATTTTTTTGTAGATATTTTTATTCTTTATGTTTCTTATGCAGGAGCTGAAGGTTTACTTAAACAGCTCACCAATCAGGATGAAGGCAAGACCAATGCAGAAGGTCAGAACGTAACCACGGAGCGGCTCATTGTTCCTGCCATAACCCTTTGCAAACACACTAAGTCCAGGATAGATGTTGTCCTTACAGAGAGCCTGG